GGCGTGGGGGAAATCCTGGGAGTTGAAGTCCACACATCTTATAGTTGTCAAGGTTGAGAAACACTGTACCAGATGGATGATAAATAGTGGATGGCCCCATGTTGAACTTAAATCATAGAGGGATTATTTGTCTTAAGAACTTACCTATTTCCATCAGGCCTTCGGCACTTAAAAACTCATTAAACTCCAACTTGCGAAGATTTGGAAAATGGGAGCATTGCTGAACAATCATTTTAGCTGCATGATGTATTCCTTCTCCAATTGGTAGAGCCAGTTGCTCCAAATTCACAAGAGAACGTAAAGCTAATGCTGCAAAGTAAAAAAGGTTGGGTAACTGGACCTCTCCCAGGAAACTGTATATAGACTAAAACCCATTCAAGTAAGTGCAACATCATAAATACTGAATGTCAAGCCAGTCTATATGAAACTTTTATTATTAGAGTTTTATCTCAATGTTTATAGTGATAGATATAGATAGAGAGATAGAGATATATGTATGTATACGTGTGTGTGTGGGGGGGTCAACTTAAGACAGCAAACTTACCTAATACTCCTGTCTCCTACTTTCCCCACAACAACAACCCTGTGAGATAGGTTCGGCTGAAAGAGAGTAGCCGGCTTTCATGCCTAAGGGAGGCCTAGAACCCATGGTCTCCTGGTTTCCAGGCCAGCACCTTTACCACTACACCAAACTTCAGAAGTTACTCATAAAGAATAAAAAGGTAAACCGTACCCAGTGCTGTACATGCTTCCTTGTTTATCAGATTTAATCTTGAGAGACTCAGTATCTTTAGTGCTGTAAAATTTGGCAAAACAGCAGCTGCAACAGATAAAAACAAATATAAATATAAATAAACAACTACAGATAGCTGCCTTGAACTCAAACCAACAGATCAAATCAACAGATTATACGATCAATGGATCACTGATACTTTTACAATGAAGAAAGTTTTCTGTCCTTCTTTAATCTTCTTGTTATTCATTTATCTGAGTTTTTTTATGGTTCAATCTTTTTTATTTATTTTGGCTTCCTTATTTGTTCTCATTTATAAATATATGTACCCACACGCACACACGCACACACATGCCCCCTATGTGTATGTGTGTGGATGAAAATGACAAGTGGCTTCAGAAAATTGAAGTTCATCACCTATGGGCATCTGTTGGGATGGTCAAAATCTGCAAGATGGCGGGCATGGTACTGCAATCTAACCTCTACTCCTTTTATATGTGAATGTAACATCAACATGTGTATAAAAGGGGTAGGGCTTCAGTCACAATACCACAGTCACCATCATGCAGATTTTGACAGAGATACTGCGATCATTCAGTTCGCTGGGCCTCTTGTTACATGGAAAGGAAATTGGATTATTTGTAGCAATGTAGTGGAAAGAAGGAATGACCTTGAGGGACAGGGGGAAGAGCCACTACAAAGACAACAGTTGGATAAAAGAAACCAGAGTCCGGGACAGTGCTGTAACCCGAGAAAACATCTCGTTGTTTCAGCTTACAGTTCTGCCTGACTCAGGTTTATTTTATACAACTGTTGTCTTGGTAGTGGTTCTTCCTCCTGTCCCTTCCTTCTGTCCACTGCAGGCAACCTTCTGTGGTTTTTCTGATCACAGATATAACTCTGCATATCCAGTGCTCTTATTTCATACCAAAGTATATTATAAGAATAGAAGAAAAGCAAACCAGATACATCATTCCTTGGATATGTTCAGGTCAGCACAGAAAGCTCTAATTGCTGTCATACATTTTAAATGAAGGATTTCACGACCTTTGAATTGTTACTTCTTTGTTACTGAACAAAAAATGTAATTTGGTATCGATATTGCAAAAGTTCTCCATTAAATGTTTCTTACTAAGGGTATATAGGTCTTCATCTCTAACATTCAATTCATTGAGTAGAATTTCAGTGAGCTTCTTGCAAGAAGACATTGCATCCATAAGAGCCCCCAAATCAGAAAAATCTGAGTTTTTCAAATGGAAAGCAGAGAGATTTGGAAAGTTCCGTATGAATTCAACTATAAAAGAAAAAAGAAAAAAAACATATTGTAATGTGAAGGAAGTTACAGGTATATAGGACTTTATTAGTGCCAGGTGTAGATTTACTTCATGTTAGTTAAGAATCTGTTTTACATAAGCACATATTCCACTTCTATTCCTTTTTGCCCTAAGCATGAACAAATCTGCCAGTTTCATTTTCAC